GCCAGGCTGTGGATCCACGGACTGCGTTTGCTCCTGCTGATTCATTCTGGCTCGTTGAACTTCCAGATTGTAGGAACTTCAGCGGGCTAATCGCCTTAAAAAAACACAAACAAATAAGGAAATGAATCCCATTGTTTGCCCCAGCTCGTTACAGAGAGGTTATTATGGCACTGGTTTGGGGAAAATGCCAAGGGCCCTTGGGAACTCGACTTCCTCCCATGCTGCTGCCCTGTTGCTAACACCCTAAACCATGGGGTCGTGTCTGCTTTGGGACATAAGCTCATCCCAGCACAATTATTATTCCAACTTTGTCCCTGAAGGGCGCAAAACTGCAGGCACAGACGGTGGTCTCAGAACAAGAGAAGCGGAGCGCAGTGGGGAGCTCTTGTGTGCCCTATGGCCAGGCCTCTCATTTATTTCACATACTATGAAAAATACACCAAACTCGGCTTTATAGGAGGGAATTATAGCACGTACACACGCATACACACACACCAAAATCTAAAACCTAAACGCTGCAACTAGAGAAAGACAGACCAGGGCAGTTTTGAAATTACATTTCAAAAGGAGAGCATCCAATACCCGCCGCTTGCAGGGCCACAGCGAGCTGAGGGGGCGCAGGGCAATCGCCCCTGCTGGTTTACAGCGTTTTGGGGGACCCAAGTTCCCCCATCCTTCAGGTCCCCATTCTGCATCTCCCCTGTTCAGCCCCAGAGGTCCCTCGTTTTCCCCCGCTGGGCCAAGGGGGAATCCCCACCTCCACGGAGGTGTCCTGGCCCCAGCCCTCCGCAGCGCTGCTCCCGGCAGTGGGAAGCGCAGCTGCCTCTTCCCTCTGCAGTTTGTTTTTTTGTTCTCCCGTCAGCCGGCGCTGCAGCCAGGCTAGTCCAGTCACGCTCCGTCCCGGGGTCAGAGCCAGCTTCGCCTCCGTCTCCTGCCTCAGCCCCGAGCTTCCCAAGCTGCTCCTCCCTGCGCCGAGCTCGCGGGGTCCCTGCCCCACACCCTGGGGACAAGCTGTGGTCCCCAACTCTCTGTTTGGTGCAGGCTCAAAGCAGAGACCGAGCACTGTGCTGAGGGACACCGAGGAAGGGCCAGCCCAGCCCCGGGCAGACCCCCCAGCTGCACCGTGGCACCTCGCCCCACTCCAGACCCCAGCACCTGGGGGTCAGGGCAGCCCCAAGCCGCCTGCGGAAGCAGCACGGAGGCGCCACCTGCTCCGGAGCCCGCTCAGGATCGGCCCTTTGGGCATCCTGGGGTGCGGGGCTACCAGGCCCCTCTGCT